TTGCCAAGGCTGAACAGGTTCAGGTCCCTCAGTCTCTCCTCATAGGTCCTGTCCTGCTGCCCTCTCACCAATTGGGTGGCCCTCCTCTGAACTCTCTCCGGGCTGGCCACATCTTTTTTAAAGTGCAGTGCCCAGTACCGGACACAGTACTCCAATTGCGGCCTGACCAATGCTGTATAGAGGGGGAGTACCACCTCTCTGGACCAGCTTGAGATTCATCTTTGGATGCATGACAAGGTATGGCTGGCCTTGCTGGCTGCAGTCTGGCATTGGCAGCTCATGTTCATCTTGGAGTCAATAATGACCCCAAGATCCCTTTCCGCCTCTGTGCTTTCAAGAGGGGAACTCCCCAGCCTGTATGTATGCTGTGGATTCCTTCTCCCAAGGTGCAGCACCCTACATTTATCTACATTGAACCCCATCTTATTCTCATCTGCCCACTTTTGTACTCTGTCTAAATCTAGTTGCAGCCTCTCTCTCCCTTCAAGTATGCCCACCTTGTCCCACATCTTAGTGTCATCAGCAAACTTGGACAATGTGCTTTCCACCCCCTTGTCCAAGTCGCTGATGAAGATGTTAAACAGTGAGGGCCCAAGGAGTGAGCCCTGGGGGACCCCACTGCTCACATCTCGCCAGCTTGAGTATAACCCGTCCACCACTACTCTCTGGGTGCACCCCATCAGCCACTTTATACCCATCCAACTGTGTAGGCATCAATGCCACAGTCATTTACTTTATTGATGAGGATGGGGTGAGAGACAGTGTCAAAGGCCTTCTTAAAGTCTAGAAAGACTACGTCCATGTTGACACCATCATCCAAGGATTTATTTACCTGGTCATAAAAGGCAATCAGGCTGGTCAGGCACTACCTGCCTTTGATGAGCCCATGATGGTTGCCCCTGAGTATGATCTCCCCTGCAGGCCCCCCACAGATGTGCTCCTTGATGATTTTCTTCAAGATCTTCCCAAAGACTGAGGTGAGGCTTACAGGTCTATTGTTACTTGGGTCCTCCTTCCTCCCTTTCTTAAAAATTGGGACCACATTAGCCAGTTTCCAATCCTCCGGCACCTGGCCAGATGACCACGAATGCTCATATAGCCGGGCCAAGGGCTCCACAATGACCCCTGCCAGCTCCCTCAACATGCTTGGGTGGAGGACATCTGGACCTGAAGATTTTAAAAAGTCCAGCCCTTCCAGAAGATCACTAACTACCTCTGCACTGACCCTAGGCCTATCAGAGCTATCCCTGAGATTGTCCCTACGTCTGGCAGGAGAGATGTCTCGGTCCCTGTTCAAGAAAGCAGAGGCAAAGAAACTGTTAAAAATATCAGCTTTCTCATCTGGAATAACCACAAGTTTACCATTTGAGTCTTGCAGGGGCCCTACATTGCCTGGTGCCCTCCTCTTGCTTCCAATATACTTGAAAAAGGGCTTTTTGTTGTCCTTAATCCTGGACGCTAGCCTGAGTTCCATCTCTGCCTTGGTCTTCCTAATAGCCCTCCTACATTAACGGACCAAGAAGGAGTACTCCTCCTTGCTGATAGCCCCTTCCTTCCACTGGTTGTATGCCAGCCTTT